TTGGAAAATTGAATTTTAAATTATCTCCTTAAAATCTCTTATTTTCCTTAATTTTATTTCGCCATCTCCTAAATATTTGATCATCTTATTTTCCTACCTTATATCTTCCTTGATTATTCCCCAAGTAATCTCTTTTGCCATATTATTTTTCATGACAACACATTTTCCTTAATTTTATTATTCTTAATCATCTTAATTATCAAAACTACGGCATATCACAGTTTCTCTCTCTAAAATTGAAAGCATTTCTCACTAGAAGTGAGTTTATCTAGCATTTCTAGGGTTCATCCTTCCTCCTTCAAGAAGACCATGCATATTCCAGAATGTCCTTGCATATTCTCTTAAGCGTTCTAGGTTGGAGGAATTTCAGTTGTTACTTGTCGTGTCAGTAGGTTTTATCTTTCTTCCTCTTCCTTCAAAGAGCTTATCCCCTTGAGAATAGCAATTGATCCTCGTTTCCCATTAAAGGTATTAACCTTTCAGCAGCCCTTTGCTCCTTCCAACACGGTTTAGGGCCTCTTCTCCGTTTTCCAAAAATCTCTTCCCCTGAGCGGTAATTACACATCTCCCATTGGTGCAACCCTCTTATAGCTAGAGTTGGCTACCCATTTAGAGGGGTTTTAATTTCTCTGCTGCTTGCTCCCCATGCGCATGTTGTTTCATATTCCAAGAACTTAAGTGAAGTCTATAAATGCTCAGTTTTTCAGTTCTGTAATTCATATTCCGTCTCAAAGTCTTCTTATCTCCTTCTCTTTTCTTTCCTCTTCTTTCTTCTAAGTCTGTCATCCTTTTATTCTCTCCCCCTTCAATTAATTTTGTCCTGTCCTCTTCATATTCTGACCTAAATCATGAGCAATAATAGGAATTCTCCTAATGCTTTTGAGGGTCAACATCTCCAAAATATGCGCGGGGGGGGGGGGGGGGGGGTCCCCTCATTCCCACCCCAGTAGACTTTAATATTGATTATGTGACTATCAATTACAATTCGAGTGTAATAGGTATGTTTGTAGGACCTCATCCTCCTTCCGAGCACTTTGTGCAACACATTGTCAACTCTCGTTGGATAAGGAGGGGGGAGATAAGAGTTCATAGATCGGGGCCATATTTCTTGTTCGAATGCAGTAATAATCAAGATCTGGAAGGTCTTGTCCGAGCAAACACAACAATCATTGATGGTAGATTAATTAACCTCAGAAGGTATCAAATCGAATTTGTGCCCCATCAAATGAGTTTTACTCTCACGAGAGTATGGCTAAGGGTATTAGTCATTACTACTTTAGTGCTTCTTCATAATTGAACGACAAAACACTAGAACAACTTCCTCATTTCCCCCAAATTGTAAAACCCTAACTCCCCTAAATCCCCAGCCGCCACCGTTGAGTTCACCAGTGCACAGTCCCGCTGTCCTGCAGGCTGCACGTGACTCTTCATCAAGTGCTCTGACCTCCGTGCTCAGGTCAATGAATTTTTAAGGTTTTGCACTCAGATTTTCGACTCTAAATCTCTAATTATTTGCCACCCAAAATGGATAATAACGTTGTTTATCTTGAATTTCGACGCTTTGTTCTTATCCTGATTTAATGTTTCATGTAGAATTCATTTTTTAGTGTTGATTATTCGGGGTAACAATGTGCATGGTATATGTTTGATAAAATGCTTATGAGAAATTTAAATGGCATAATAATGGTTATGTAGGACTGTTGGAACATATCATGTATTAAGTTGAATGCTTTAATTTGACTAATGTCTAATCAAATGATTTAAATTTTAATAGGTTGGGTTTTATAATTCAAGAATAAATGAAAATTGCCTTGTAATTTATTTGTAATCCATAATTTGAACTTATGTACTGAATATTTAATAATTATATTTTTATTCCTTTGTTAATTACGATTCCAAACTTCCGAAGTTTCGAACCCACACTTCAGAAATCCTGGAGACGCCACTACTTAGTATAATGATATTAAGTAAGGGTTTTGAGGAGAAATAGAGAAATGGAGAATGAAATTTTTGAGTAGAGAGAAAATGTGAAAACGGCTGCTTGAGAAGCCTGAGATGAGAGAGTGAGAGTGAGTGACTGAGGGATAGGGTTTTTAACTTAGGGTTGTTTAAAGATTTGGGCCTTGGGTAGGTAGTACTATAGTAGTGTAGTAGACTAACAATCTTAGTTTTTTTTTTAAAAACTTTTTATAAGGTCGGGTTTGGGTTGACCCGAAACGAACCTGACCTGATTTGACCCGGAAATAATTTCGGGTTAAGTGGGTCATTTTCGGGTTGAAATTTTCAACCTTAACCTAACCCATTTAATTTCAGGTCGGGTTTGTGTCAACCTATTTAAGTTTTGGGGTCGAAAATCTCAACCCAAACCCGCTATTTTCGGGTCAGGTCAGTTTTTGCCAGCCCTAGATATTATTAAGTAAGGAGAAAAAATAGGAACAGTACTGTTCAAACGAAAACCCTAGCTAGGCCCAACCCGTCTATGTGATCACCTTTTCATTGCAACTCACAAGTACAGAGTATAAAAAGAAAGAAACCCTAGCTAGGCTCAGAATAGTCGTGCTTTTCTCTTATCTCACTTTGCTAATCTCTAATCTAATCGAGTTAATTTAGGTAATTTAGTGTCTTTCTAAACTTCAAATCAATCTTATTGTTTTCTAACTTCATGTAATTTATGACTTTTGTTTTTCTAGGTACTTATATAATAGGGCATCGTCCATAATCTTATTATTTCAAATTGGTATTATTATTGATTGATTGATACATATGTTTGTTACTAGGAAGTTGGATATGGATGATGAGAAATTGATACAAAATACCGACATGTTTCAAGGGAAGAAATAGAGGGGATAAGAAAAAGAAATGATCACGAGGGGTTGAGTGATTCCATTGTCGAGTCTACCGTAGACATCCTTGATAGCTTGAGAGAGTATGAAAGGGTAAACGGAAAAGAACCTGTTTTGGTTGGTCCTCTAATTCATCTGTTGTCGGTCAAGTTTCTACCTAATAGCTTGCAAGATACACCCCCCACCATCTCTGGTAGGATATACACTGAGTTTGGTGATTTTGAAGTTGTTGGATTAGATGGCAATGGCTTTTTGAAACTTAGCCACCGACAATCATCTTGGCCTTTGACGTGTATGCCTTATCATTGTACCCGTTTTGTGGTTGATCTTGCTATGGGGGGCAAGACTTTAGGTAAGAGATACATTTCCTATGAAGAGGATACAACTGATTTTGAACAAGTCGACGAGAAAGTTGTTGTTACTGAGATTGGCGATTTCAGTTTGCGCTACATTGCCATGCCGTTTGCTATTTATGCTGGTGTGCGAGTGACCTTTCATCACAAGCAAGATTGTAAGTTAGAGGGTGCAAATCACAGTTTCCTTGACATCAAGGGAAAAATCATTGCAAGTTATGGCGGCAACACTTGCAATTCAGAAGCCTGTATTCTCTTTGATAAAGAATCTGATGAGTTTCAACGACTTGATTTTGAGAAACAAGTATGTCCTCTAGAAAGTGTTGACATGAATTTGTCTCGGTGTTGGGTTGGTTTACCGGCATATTCATCGATTATTCTTGATGTAAATCTAATGGAACTCGGATCGGGACACAAACTTGTTAAAGAAATCTTGGAGTTTCAAGTTGGAAACAAATATTTTTCATATAAAACCTTTATTGTTGGTGACATCCTCATCAAAGTTGGTGTGGTATGGAATTCACCAATGCAAAATGACAAGGAGCGTGCTATAATGTTTGAGGATGAGGTATTTTAAAGATTTGGTCATTTTGTTGTCTAACACAAATTTTGTTGTCTATTTTTCCTACTACTATGACTAACCTGTATCATATTCATGTCTCAACAAGTCTTCTAAGGAGCATATATGTGCACAAGGGACAAGTGAAGATGATAGTGATGATGAGCAAATGATTGAGGTCTAATAATGTTTCTCTCAAACAACATTAATATCTTTAGATTATTGCTTCCAATTCTCTATTTTTGCACTATCTAATACTATTCTCTCTTTTCTTGTGTAGTCTAGTGTAGCCGAAGCATCATCAAAACTCATGCGCCCTTGGTATGCATTCTATTTTATATTTATTTTTATGAGATATACTTCCTCCATAACAAAATAGATGGTACACTTTGATAATAAATGTGAGAGATATTTTATATTAAAGTGTAACATCTATTTCGTTACGGGGGAAGAATTAGATATACATGCATGTTTAAGCATACTGTTACTATTAGTTTGGTCATTGTATTATACAATTTGTTTTTTTCCCCAGCTAATTCTTTAATAAGAAGAATTTTAATCAAAGATTATGAAAAAATGCATTATGTTTTTTAACGTGTAGTTGATATGTAGATCATGAGGTTCTCAATCTTGAATAAATATGTGGATTTCAGGCTTGTAGTACATCGAAGTATGTTATTTCCAAGTTCTATGGTTGAAATATATGTTGTTTACATTGGTCATGACATGCTCAAAGCTTTGCAGCTCCATGGTTCCATTGAAGTCTCAACTCTTGGTAATGCATAATACTGTTTTAATAGAGAAGCAAGTGATGCTTTTGGATTGTTAGAGGGGAGCAAAAATTTACCTTTGCTTGATGGATCTCTAGAGTATGATGATTGTGACTCATTTAAAATGAAAATTGATCTCAAAGATGTCGAAGGTCTTTTGTGCATTAGAGGTTACATAAATTGGGATGATAGGACCCTTGAATATGGCAAGCGATGGTTTAATAAACCTCTATGCTCATTTGTTGAAGGTCAATATGGTTTTGCTGCCTTATGTTACTCATTTTTTTCAGAAGCAGTGAAAGCAAATTCAATGGTTTTGTGTGCACCGAAACAGAAAATTAGCAGTGAGAGTTTTGAAGGCTTTCCAAGAGTTTACGGTAGTATTACTTCTCAGCACGTCTACTTTGACTACACTAGCCGCTACAACAAAGATTATTTTTGAGTTACACTGTTTGAGAGGAGTGCAGAGAATGCAATGCAAACAAGTGTCGATGGTGTGATCACGCTTTCAAGATCAACAGTTGTTGTTCCATTGGACTCGGCACTTGTGGTTGGATTAGATTTTTCTATGTGTGTCGGAGATAATCAAGTCTCATTCAACTCTTCAGCAGATCTTAAGGTTGGCGCAAGTAACTTCACTATGGAAAGTGAAAGCAATGACTATTCGGTTCATATAAACGTAAAATGGCTGGACTAGAAGTAGTAGTTTAATGGTCAGTCTTATTACTAGTTTAATTTAAATTATGTGGATGTAAAATCAGTGGAAGTGTGACTCTAATATCTAAACCTAAAATAGCCTCATTTTGATGTGCTTAGGCAACACTGCAAAAGATTGTAGCATTTTTGTAATTCATGAGATTAATTTCATTGACTTTTTATCTATTCCATATTTGTTTTTCAAGTTGATATCACATATTGACTAATTGTCTATCTCACTACCTAAATGCTTCTCCATGGATTTATACACTGTATCCTCCCTGCCAGTAACTGGTAACTGGCATAGAAGCACAGGAGATCTGATGCATACTATGTTGTGTATGTAAGTCCAATAAGAATAGCATGCTTATATTATTTATGCAGGAGTGTATTCTTCAGAATAGATTCTGTTGCTGTATCTTTTCATCTGTAACTGAGTTAAGGTTGCTTATACGGCTTCAGACAACCACAACAGGTACTAACCCCTTCTGTTAGCACTTTGTTCTGTTTTTTTGCATTGCTTGAATAGGATTTGATTAGTTTCGCTGCTAACTCACAATTACAAACAGGTTCAAGCACAGCGTTGTGGGTCTGTTGCTAGCCTATCTCTTATACGCACAATCTCTCAAGTCTTTACAGAGCACCTATGGTAAGAAGAAAGGCAAAGAATATGTATGACATCAAAATACCTTGCTGGTAAGTGTTAAGCTCCTTTGATATTGTTCTAAGCTTTCTTGCTGCTTAGCTTGTCATCAAGTTTGAGTATGATGTTAACACGTGCTCAACTATGCATTCTTTAGTAACATATATTAATAATACATATGTATATCTTTTTAAGTGATTATATATATGATATGGACGACCGTCTCTTGTATCCCTCATTAGAGCTCCCCCTATAGAAAGGAGAAGGTATAAGAAACATGCATGTACTATTAAGTAGAGCATTGGTATTGAACAGAGAAAATTCTAGTGACTGGTTTTTTGTACTGCAATCTGGCTGAATTTATTTCCTTGGTGATAAATAATCAAGTTTGCTTAGCCAAGTATTTGTAAATGTCCTGGAGAACTGTGGAAAGGGCATATTAAGTGTTGTTGTTGTGTTCTTGCAAATTTTTTAGAAATTTGAAATATACATTTTAAGCTTTAAAGATCACACTAGAAGTTTGTTCAAGAGCAGTTAAAGGTTACAAGTTCATCATTACCATGGCGGCATCAATGAATCACGAGGGAAGGACCATTCTTAAGGTTTTTGGTGTTGAGCTTGTCCTCACTGATCCAGTAAAAGGCATGAAAAGGCCTTTTCAAAAAGCTGAGGAAATCCGTGACAAGACTCCTAATTCATATATTCTACAACAGTTCAAAAACCCTGCTAACCCAAAGGTAATTTTATTGGTATTTTTGTGTGCATATATTCGTTAAATGTAGTCTTAATTTATTTGAACACCATTGTTGTTCTCTGTTTAGGTTCATTATGAAACAACTGGACCGGAGCTTTAGAGAGGCACAGATGGAAAGATTGATATACTTGTCTCTGGAATAGGGACTGGAGGTACAATAAACATGTGCAGGAAGATACCTAATAGAACAAAATCCTAATGTTAAGGTAAGTTGTGACATTAATGTGCAACACAATTTGGAGGATGTGCTATTTTGTTCTCCACGAACTCTCTCTTTCTTTCTTCCCTTTTTTTATTTTCTTGCCTCTTTATTACCCTAATATATCTTTTTCCTTCGTGCTCGAGCTAATTGCTTGGAACCAATGGAAAGTGTTGTATTGTCCGGAGGAAAACTTGGTAATTAACAAACCTTGATCAATTAGTATCATAGTTTGTATCTTTCAGTATTACTTGGGTTGTTCTTAGATACATTGTGCAACATCACCTATCAATCTATATAGTTACCAACTTAGGAACATTGTTATTCTCATATAATTATCATTACTAGGACTGTTTTAGTTATCTGAATTGCAATATTGCCTGCAATATATCTAAAGTTTAATTGGGAACTTTTGGTAGGTACCAATATTGTCATTACCCATTGCAAATTTGCAACCTGTACTGCCATTTGTTCTAATTCTTAAGGAAACCTGGGCAAAAGGTTATCGAGTCTTTTCATTGAAGTAACTTCTTTTTCAATAACACAAGTAGCAATAAACATAGTTTGCTGGAAATTAAAACATTTAATAATTTGAGGGATGGTTAGATTGGTTTGTGTTATTGATCACAATGGTTAGATTGGTATTGAGTTATTGATCACAATTGTTAGATTAGTATTGAGTTATTGATCACAGTGGTTAGATTGGTATTGAGTTATTGATCTAACTATCACTACTACGTTTTTTACCAAATGCAACAGCCTAATAAAGGCTAATACATTGGTATTTTAATTGTCGTTGCAATAGAGTAGGCTAATGATACGGATTTAACACAAATGTTCTTAGAGGTAGGGCTTATGCCACGGCTCTAAAGAACCGTTGCATTCGCCTAGCTATTTTAACAAAAAAGGAGCTGATGCAATGGTATGTGTATTGTATAATGAAAAATTTAGAAGTGCGCGGATATTAAGTACTTCCCTCTTATTTTTTGCCCAAATATTTTGAACCCTTACACATGTTACTATCACTCTCTACTACCATTTTCTCACAGTACCCATTTTCTCCATTTTCCCCAATTCTCCATTTTCTCACATTCTCATATTTTCCCCAATTCTCCAGAATTACTTTCAAATTCTGAGAGGAAAATTACTCAAAAATTCTAAGAGTTAAATAAGCAAAGAAATCTGAGGAAGTAGACGAAAGCGACACTCAGGCGATGGTGGCTGATAGCGGCACTCAAGCGGTCTCATTTTCATCTTGCATGTCCCTTCCTTAAGCTAATTGCTCAAATTTCTGTTCAAGGTATACAACGAATTTTCGTTTTTGAGATTGCTTAATTGAAATTTTGTTGTTTCATTTTGTGGTGATTAAATTTGAAGTTTTTGCTTTTGTGTTTGGGAATTTGTATTTGATGCCATGGAAGATGAAATTTCTGTTCTCATAACTCTTGGAAATGGCTAATAGGTTTTGTTTATATTGATTTTATTATTTTATTAGTTTTGAAACCTAGCAACACTGAATATTGTATTTGAGTAGTCTAATAGGGTTTTTGGGGGAAATTTCATATAAATGGATAAGAAGATATATTGATTTTACTTAGTTCTTGTATGAAAATCTACTCCACATATTGCAATGCTCGCTGCTGCATGTCTTAATCTTATGGTAAAAAAGTTAGAGTGCATCTTCGGATCTGAGGTGGCTTATTTGGTTCATGGGGTAAAACTTCAAAGATCCAAGTTTATTACTTTTTGTATCAGCTATGATGATTCTGTCGTTTTGTTTATTACTTTTTGTAATTGCTATATCCATTTTTGTGAGCTGTGAATTATTTGTGTGAACTTTTTTTCCTTGTTTCTCTCTTATGTATGAGTATAACTGATGGGAATGCTCTTGAGTGGGAACTGGTTGTATAGGTTGTCCCTGTAATCAGACCTTTTGTGTTTAGGAAGTGTGTTTTATGTTGATGTTTACATTGATCTCCATGAGTAGCATAGGTGATGTATGCCTTATGAATTGTGTGAAATCCTATAATTGAGAAGAATGTATTTGTTTTTTCATGTGTGGTGTAGTGTTACCAGACAATTTTGTTTTATTTAAAGCTTGCATAAGGTGGATTTTTTTAACATATTTGTCTGCACGCATGCATTTGCTATTTAAGTATATGAAACTTGACCGATTAGGTTGTAGGCATATGGATTAGACATTGATGGGTTAGGCATTTTTACTCCAATGTGCTCTCCTATTTACTATTTAGTTAAAGAAGTCACCCAAATCCTTTAGATTTAACAGAAATTATTGGAAATTACTGTTATTCACTCTTTGAGATGTGTATCATTGTCTGTGTGTGAATAATAGCTACACTAAGGGCTTTAAAAGAGGCTTAGAAGTCTGGGTCTGAATAAGTAACCCACATGAGAAGGGTTTGAGGCAAGCAGTTTTTGCAAATATGGTTTATCTTGATTTGTATTGTTTATTTGATGGTGGCTCTTAAAATACTAGAACAATGATTATACTCTGATACGGGTTCTCCCCTAATATTATTAGTTTAAGGCTTTTTAACTTTCCTTGCTAATTACACTTGCCTCTTTTTAATATCTCGTTTCTTTTTCATTGTCACTAGATTAATGTAAAGTGGGTCATAAATTTGTATGAATACAGTTTTGATACTCCTTGCTTATTACACTTGATAAAGTTGTCCTTGACAATAGAAATACACTAGTTTTAATTATTATGATCATATAATCAAGCTATAAACAACTTAATACTTAATTGATACTGTAATATATTTCTCAGAAGACCATAAATGGATATGTAGGACCTATTGTATGATATTAAGCATGTAAAAACCAGGAAAAATCAAGAGTAGTTTAGGAAGATGATTATAGATATGGTGTGTTTGATTTGGTTTCTGTCAGTTGCTGGTTCTAGCAGCTTTGTTCGTTGGAGTATATTGGTAATTTGTTGACGATTTATGATATATTTTTATTTTCAAATAAAATATATATTTCTCATGGAAATGTATGTCTGAAAATGCTCTTATGTTTCACAACTCATGAGTCATGACTATAATTTTAATTGTGGAGTACAAGTTGATTTTTAGACTAGTTCTCTTTCTTCCTGGTGGTTGTAAAGTAGATTTTATTGTCAGTTCTTTCTAATTGGTTAAAGTAACTCTCTTAATTCTTAGTGAATTGATTAAATGTTTATACTGTAAAATTAAGTAAAGTAACCCTCTTAATGCTTACCCTAAGGTATGGATAGTGGAACTAAAGTGCGGTGGATGTTTGCCAAATGGAGTGATGAATATGAGCGAGGAGTAGATGAATATGTACAAAAGGCTTTTGCTTCTAAGTCTCAAGGAAATCAAATTTGTTGTCCTTGTGAAAGTTGTCATTATCGTTTTTGGTGTCATGAAGGTGTTGTGAGAGATCAACTTATTTGTAATGGTTTTGTTCCTCGAACAGTTAAGTTATCAGAGTTAGGGATCAGCATTGAAAGGGAACAAACTATTTTGGATAATGATGAAGGGTCAAACCCAAATGATTTTAATGATGACATAGTAGGGTTGTTGCATGATGCACGTGATGATTTTAGAAAGGGGCCAAATGACGAGGCAAAAAAGTTTTTTAAGTTAGTTGAAGAAGGCCAGGAAGAATTATATCTCAGTTGTAAAAATCATTCAAAACATTCCTTCATGATCCGAATTTTTATTTTGAAGTGTGATCATAAGCCAACTAATGTTGCTTTTGGAGATATATTGGAGCTTATAAGGGAGGTGTTACCTGATGCAAAACTGCCAGCTTCTTTTAATGAAGCAAAAAGTGTTTTGAAAGTGTTGGGGTTGGATTACACTAAGATAGATGCATGCCCAAATGATTGCATGATATATTGGGAAGAGCATGAAAACGCAACAAGTTGCCATGTTTGTGAGACGCCAAGATGGAAATCAAATGACACAGAGAATGGCATACAAAATGAAAATGGAAAGACCTATAAGATTCCTCAAAATATTCTTAGGTACTTTCCAATAAAGAAAAGGCTTCAACGGCTATTTATGTGTCAAGAGACGGCGAGATACATGACTTGGCATCCTGATGGGCGTGAAAATGATCATCTTTTACATCATCCAGTTGATGGTCAAGCTTGGAAGGAATTTGATTCTTTATATCCAAAGTTTGTTGATGACCCACGCAATGTGAGGCTTGGGTTAGCCACAGATGGATTTAGCCCGTTCAACTCAATGAGCATTGTCCATAGTACATGGCCAGTTATGTTGATTAATTATAACTTGCCTCCTTGGATGATTATGAAGCCCGAGTATTTGATGCTAGCCTTATTAATTCCTGGTCCGTCTTCCCCTGGCAATGACATTGACATATATTTGCAGCCACTTATCAAGGACTTGAAGGATTTGTGGGAGTTTGGGTTGGAAACTTATGATGCTTCGACTAATCAAAGGTTTGACATACATGTAGCATTGATGACTATCGTGAGTGATTTTCCAGGTTATGCAATGTTATCTGGGTGGAGCACAAAAGGATACTTGGCATGCCCTGAATGTCATTACGAAACAGATTCTGAGTGGTTGCTTTATAGTGGTAAGAATGTGTATAGGGCAAATCGTAATTTTTTGGATCCACCTTACCCTTGGCATCATGATAAGAGGAATTTTGACGAAAAACTTGAGGAAAGATGTCAACCTATTCCATTGAATGGAATTATATTGAGAATATGTTGCGTGATTTTCCAAATGCATTTGGAAAGAAGCAAAAGAAACCAAGGCGTGATGTGGATGATCCGAATCCTTGGAGAAAGATACCCATATTTTTTGAGTTGCCATATTGGAAGCATTGCTCTAATCGCCATAATTTTGATGTAATGCATATTGAGAAAATGTCTTTGATAATGTCATTGCGACGTTATTAGACATTTCTCAGAAGAACAAGGATAATGTGAGTGCTCGTCAAGATTTGGTAGAACTTAATCTGATGCCAGAGCTTCAACCAATAGAATTCAAAGATGGTAGTGAAGAATTTCCAAGATCTCGCTTTTGGATGTCATTGGAGCAAAAGCATAAGTTCTGTCAAGTTATAAAAAATGCTAAGCTTCCTCAAGGTTATGCTTCCAACCTTAGTCGTTGTGTGCAAGTTAGAGAAAGGAAAATAGCAGGCTACAAAAGCCATGATGCTCATTTTATGATGAATTATCTCCTACCAATTGTTGTGAAGACAACATTACCCAAAGACGTTGCTAGTCCTTTGATAAGACTTTGTGCTTTTTTCAAAGGTATATGGAGTAAAACTATTGATCCTCGAGATCTTGGAAAATTGCAATCTGAGATAGTTAAAACTCTATGCCTACTTGAGAGGATTTTTCCACCTGCTTTTTTTGATATAATGGAACATTTACCCATACACTTGGTAGACCAAATTAAGTTAGTTGGGTGGACCTGGTACAAGTTCTTTAAATGTCTTTATTCTAACTTTGGCGCGTTAGTAAGATAAATATTTTATTTTTACAGTGAGCAAAAGATTTGTGTAAGTGCTAAAAGGAAAAGAAAATGGAATAGTGCTGAAGACCATAGCAAGGATTTCATGGATTGGTTTAGGGAGAAAGTTGATTTGATTCTTAAAGAAGGCCATGATAATATCCCGGACCATATTTTGTGGTTATCAAAAGGTCCCTCTCACATTGCCAAAAAGTACACAGGGTACTCAGTTAACGGCTATAGGTTTCATACCATGAAGCGAGATGCAAACTGCATAACTCAAAATAGTGGCGTCACTCTAATAGCCATTACACATAGCTTTGCAAGCTCCAAAGATCAAAATCCTGTTTTGGGAAATGTTAATTATTATGGTTCAATAACTGAAATCATTGAGATATCCTATCATGTTCATTTCAGTGTTGTCTTATTTAGATGTCAATGGTTTCACTCAATAAAGGACGATGATGAGCTTATTACGGTTAATATGAATAAGACCGTTTCTAAAGAAGAACCTTTTATCTTAGCAACTCAAGCACATCAAGTGTTTTATGTAGAAGATTTGAATAGAGATGGTTGGCATTATGCTATTCAAATCCCTCCTAGAGAGCTTTCGGATGGTATTGTTATACAATTATTTATACTTCACTTTTTTTTTATATGACATGCTTTTTTTTTTCTTACAAAGTTATTCAATTTGTTTCATGTTATTATGTTATATGTAAAATTAACGTGTTTCCATTTATTTGTTTTTATTTGTTTTTTCAAATGAAAGGAAATAGGCACGAAGTTGTTGTGTCCCAAAGTCAGGTTCTAGAATATGAACTACAAAGGCTTCAAAAGTTAAAGTCTAATGCAGAACAAATGAAAGCCCAAGGATCGGGATCCTTGGCTAATAAGATATTGTAAGAAAAAACAAAATCCTTACTTTCTCCCGGTGCAAGGCAGAATGATATACCAGAAGATAGAGGATCGGGACTCCACATCACAGTATGATGGTGAAATTGAGGGCGAAACTACAAACATCATGGAAATTGACAATCTTTATTCTAGAAAAAGAAAAGGAAAACTCTGTAGATAGCTCTGCCTTTCTGGTATTTTTTTTCTGCATGGGTATATTTTTTAAAGTAGTGGTTATCATGTTCTAAGTTCATTCCAGCTCTTGCTATACTTATAACCATATTTGACTGAACTGGTTACATGAGCTTAGTTATTATAGAGTTTTAATTATCTTGATACTGTAATAAATACTCTTTAGCAGATCAGTTGCAAAGGAAATTATATTTGAAAGAAGCATATTAGAGGGTGTATGTGAAATAATGAAACCTGCACCAGTTTTATAGGTTAATTTCTTAGAGATTCAGAAACCTTACCGTCTTCATGCTACATAATAAACATGTATAATTATCTATTTTTGCCATTTGTTTAATAGGTCTCAAAGCTTCATAATTCATATGTTCGCCCACGAACTACGGCTGTTGGTGAGATGAATAGCCAAAAAAAGCATCATGTTGATAAAGTTCATGACATTAACTCAACTAAAGCAACCAAGAAAGTTCATAATCAATGCATCCAAAAGAAGCAGCAAGAGCAGCAAGTTGTGTCAAAATGAAGGACAAAAAAAGAGCTTTATGTCCTCCTGGTTCTATGTCAGCATATCTCGAGTTTCGAAAAAGGCAAAAAGAAAACAATGAAGTTATTGTAAATGGTAATCAATCTTTAAATCATTCTAGTGTTGCACGAATGCATAATGATGATGATGCATTGAATGAGTATGATGATGCATTGAATGAGAACGATGATAATGAGCAACTAATTGAGAATGATTATGATGATGCACTAATTGAAAATGATGACGGTGTTGGGAATGAATTTGAGGGCGATCAAGAATTGGAATGGGAAGTTCTACCACAGTTCAGAAGGGAAGGTATGTGATAGTTACAAGTACCTTAATCTAAGACACAAATTGTTGGTTTTAATTGCTTTTGATCTCTAAAGGCACAACACTTAGCTAGTGAGAAAAGTTATTTGTAAGAAAATTACGCTTGCTATTCTTTATAATGTTTGCATAAGCTTGTCACTTAGTTATATATACTTATAGTTATTGCAAAAAAGGGCTGAATAATTGAAGAAAGATTGTGTGTGTGTGTTCTGTTCATTCATCATTTTAACATGTATCTGTTAATATATTAATAAAAGCAGAAACTGAAAAAGCTTCTAAAAGCAAAAGGCATCGAGGTCCAACAATGCTACCAAAGGTTCATGCACGTACAAGAGAGGAACGCCCGACTATTGTTTTGAACTTATTTGGCCTGCCAGTTGGACCGACAAAGGAAATTGTCCAAGAGTTCAAGCTATTCTTGGGAACCGTGGCAAGGGATTCGGAACATGCACCGCTTAACTATATTAATTTTACTAGTCTACCTACTCTTCAACAAATATGGGATTATGTCCTAGTATGTAGTAATATTATTCTTTGCATTAGCATGTTGGATCTCTGTATATAGAAAAAATGCTACAAATATTTTTTTTTAAATCACTATTAATGCCTTATGCTTAGACTTCCATTTACATGTTACTAACGTATTATTTTCATGATTAGTGTAGGAAAAGTTTATGGTTCCTCAAGCAGGATTGCGGTGGGTGATGGAGGCTATCAATGCATGTTGGAAATGTCATAAATCCAATGTTAAGAAAAAAATACTTCTATTATGACATTAGTGACTTACGATTTAAGATGGACATATAAACCTGACACAATTTCAGAACCTCAATTCAAAGATCTTTTGCAATATTGGCGTACTAAAGAGGTTGAGGTATACGATTATAAGCTGTTTACGTAATTACATTAGTGACACAAATGCATAACCTCAATTCAGGGCCTAATAAAGACCCTTTTTTACTTGATAGTTTTTACGAATTACAAGCATGATTCATAATTTTATTTTCTTATTTGTTTTTATCACATATGTACTTAATTTTTATTTCTTTTCGGATTAGGAAACTAGTAGAATCAACAAAGAAAATCGTCTAATGTTAGATGATATGCATACTATGGGTCCTAGGTCTTTTGCAATATTGGCGTACTAAAGAGGTTGAGGTATACGATTATAAGCTGTTTACGTAATTACATTAGTGACACAAATGCATAACCTCAATTCAGGGCCTAATAAAGACCCTTTTTTACTTGATAGTTTTTACGAATTACAAGCATGATTCATAATTTTATTTTCTTATTTGTTTTTATCACATATGTACTTAATTTTTATTTCTTTTCGGATTAGGAAACTAGTAGAATCAAAAAAGAAAATCGTCTAATGTTAGATGATATGCATACTATGGGTCCTAACTCATTTGCCATTTTACGCCATGAGCTGGTAAATACTTTATTTCATTTATATGCAATTTAATTATCAAATTTTATAATCATCACTTGTACTATATGAGGCTTTTACTCTTTTTCTTTATAATGTATAATCATTTTAGTTTCATATACTGTATTATTTTTCTACAGAAACAACAAGATCCGAATAAGCAAGAACCTTCTCAAGCAAAGGTTTACAAGAAATCAAGAAAGAGAACTGCTGGTAGAACATACCTTACCAAAAACGAAAAAGCCGAACAAAATATTGTGAGCTAACATCTTAGATAAATATAGTTAATATTTGTTTGATTTTGATAAATAGTAAATGATTTTATTTTCCTAAAATAGGCCAAAATGGATGCTTTGGAGTCTTCCAACCATGAATATGGTAGCAACTCTAAGGACCCTTACTCAGAAGTTATTCCTAACCCTAAGCGCAAAAGTCGTTTACGCCTTCATGGAAAAGGTGTTAGAATGAAAGATTTGAACAAAAAAGATAAAAAGTCGAATTTCATATTCCGAGAGGAATTCATAGCAAGTATGCAAGAACAAATAGTACAAAAACTTGTACCAGGCCTTACAACCGCTGTTTTAACTCAACTTCATGAAGCTAACCCTGGGATTAATCTTGTCATTCCTGATTTTGTGATGTCATCAGCTCCAAATAATGCATCCAGTGCACCACGTCGGTTCATTCATCAAAATGGGTAATCTTCTAAATCTGGTGGAACAGTTAATCAGGTATCAAAAATTACTTTTCTATGCTTCTAAGTTGCTTGTGTTGATGCTACCTTGGTTCGCATTTGGTTGTTGGTCATAGGCTATCATCCAACCTTGTACAGCCTTTTTTGTATGTGCACGTGGCTGAATTTTTCTTCATCCTTTTCTGGTTGTGTATCTTTGCTTGGCTGACTGTTGCTTCATCAAACAAAGTCATCTTTTCTAAGATCAAAACCCATTTCCTTCAATTTATTTCTGAACATGATTGCTTTGTATTTTGTCGATGTCACTCAGTTTCAGATTTTCCTTATTATTTTATATAAACTTTTTTACTGCTACTGATGGCTTCCACTGTTGATGTGGAATGAGCTCACTAGTAATGGACACTAACTACAACAATTTAAGAAAGTACATAAGAGAAGAACAAGCAGAACAAAAATAGCAAAAGAATGAAGACCGATTAATTGAATGATTAATAATATCTTGAGGATACAATTTTCCTAAATGACCAATCTAAAAAACATGTCTTTCTACGATTTCAACCCTTTTCTATATATCAGTCATTACAAGACACTAGTGTCAAGGTTTTATCTTCATTCTACTCCGCAGTGCTGCTCTACTATATTGTGTGTGTTTTGTCCTCAAAGAATCACAATAGTTGTATGAGCATTAATTTGTTTTGTCTTCGTGTGTTGCTTCCTTGTGTGCTGCTTCATTGTGTGTTGCTACCCTCTCTCCTGCTACTACTGGTAGTTGTTTTTCTGTCCCCTTGTGCCACTTGGTCCATTACATGTTGTATATATAGCGTCACCAGTGTCCTACATGCTACCATGCATAAACCTCCCCACTTATCAAACTTTATCATGTTTACATTAACACAATTATTACTGTCTTTTAAATTTTACGTGTAGGAGCATGGCGAGCTAGATGGAGATAAAGTACGGTGACTATAGTACGTCAATCAACAAATGGTGAATAAATGTTGTTGGCGACTCAATTTTTATTAAGTACGAGCTTGTGAATAAATGTTGTTGAAGATTTAGAATATATATATATAATTAATTAATTAATTAATATATTTTATGCTAGTATTTTGCACTGTTGTTACATTTTAAGTTTTCAACGAGGCACGGCTGTATATGATGTTCTACTCTGTTATTAATTAGTAGACATATATATATTTATTAGTACGTAGTATGGAAACAATATTTTGTTGTGTATATATACATACATACATATATATATATATACATACATACATATATACATATATATATATATATACATATATATATATACATATATATATATACATATATATATATATACATATATATATATATATATGTTTCGGGTGTTTTTGGTCCCTCGGGAGAGTTACAATATGGAGTATGCGCGCCTGACTTCTGTACCTGCAAAACCACAAAACTCCGGTTGGGTGGAGTTCCGCCTCCGACGATCAAGTTAGCATGATTTACGGATGGGTAATAGTGCGGAAGGTAAATAGGTTTTTCTCACTGGTTCAGAGAGATTCCGCAATTAATATTGTTCGGCTTTCGTGTTTGGATTTATGAATGCCCAATAAATGAGGAGGATTCCCCTATTTATAGTGGGGGAGACATGTTCCCTGATTAGGGTTTTGATGCCACGTGGCAGCATCCGATTGGATCTCATTGGACCGTTGGTGGGCTGCCACGTGTCATGATTCTACTGGGCCACGTGGCATAGGGTATTTTTACCCTAAACATTTGCCCCTCACATGTGTGACGTGGCGCAGCCACGTGTCACCTGTGACAGGTGTCAAGCAATGAACAAGCAACGATTGAGTTGCTTCCCGCCTCTCTCTCCTGAATTTGAATTTCGAAAGGATTAAGGCAGAAGGTGGCGATTCGCCTTCCGGTCTTTTCCTATAAATTAAGGCGCACACCCTCTCTCCTCTTCACTTTACAAATTTTTTCAGAATTTTCTTGAGAGCTCTGACACCGGCTGCTAGTTTGTGCAACCAGTTGCTTCATTGAAACGCATACGGATACCGGTTGAGGACTTCTTCACTTAATCCCTCCAGGTACCGTTTGACTTGATTCTCTTTCTTATCTTGAGTAGAACCACAGACGGTCATACACCGTTTGGGACTCCATAAGCCCCTTTTTATGCTTTGCATTTGGTAGACCCACAGACGGCGTAAACCGTCAGGGGAATCTTTAAATCATGATCCTCAAAGATAGACCCTAAGACGGTGGTGGGCCGTCTGGGGTATCCTTAATGGACTATACTCTGAATGCATGTCATATCCCCACAGACGGTGAATACCGCCTGTGCACCTTTACACTGGTTTTTTATGTAGTTGCACTTAAAAGACCTACAGACGGCTATATGCCGGATGGGGCATCTTTATACCTTGCCTTTCGAATGATAAACCCACAAACGGTGTGGACCGTCTGGGAGACCTTCAAACCTTGGCCTTTAATAATGCGTTCCATAGGACCACAGGCGGTAATATACCGCCTGTGATATCTGCAATCAATGGT